GTGCAGGAGTCATATTGTATATCTTACTTAGTGGAGTCCCTCCATTTTGGGCTGGTAAACTGAGACTTTGATCTCATAATAGAATAGAAGAATTAACAACTTATACTAAAATTTTAAAACATAAATTGTCTTTTGTTTTTTTTGTTCTCTCTTACTTGTTGGACCTGTCTAATTTTTTTTTTTAATCAAATATGTGCTGTAGAGACTGAGAAGGGAATATTTGATGCCATATTGGAAGGTCACATTGATTTTGAAAGTCAACCATGGCCTAACATTTCAAAAAGTGCCAAGGATCTTGTTCGTAGCATGCTTATACAGGATCCAAAGAAACGCATTACCGCTGCTCAAGTTCTTGGTATATAACTTTTAATGTGATTCGTCCTTAATCTTATTAATTACTTGAAGCTTATTAAACTTTGCCCTGTACTCCTGATTAGTATCTTCCTGCTCACAGGGTCAATTTATGCATGTAGTAGTATAAGATTGAGAAGATAAATTATTAGAGGGGTTTATGAGCTATTGCAGTATGTTCAAAACTTCAAATAATTATAGCTAGTTGTAATGCATGAAAAAACTAAACTCACTTGATAGTTTATAGAATTCAAAGGCTATTTTCATATCTGTATAGACTATTCTATATCTATACATATATGACAACATACTCTGGGAGTAGGGGTGGACAAAAAAAATTGAACTAAACTGGTGGTAAACTAAACTGAACTACACTATAAAAAACTGAACTATTTGTAACTAAAGCTAAACTGAACTGTTTAAAAACTGAATTGTACTAAACTATAAAAACTGAATTGATCTATAAAAATAAACTATTTTTATGTAAGTGTAAAAATTAAATGTATCTAACATGTTCTGTTCTGTTTTAATGAGTTAACTCTATAGTCCAACAACCTAGACTTCGGAACAAAAGTGATCTGAAAAAAATTGTGTAAATTTTGTCGAATCTAACTAGTCAATCAAACCATGTTGGGTGACTAATTTTTAGGCTTAAAATTCACTGTGTTTGTTTGACTCAATTTTATATTTTTTTCTCCTTTGAAAAATTTAAATAAAATAGAAAATAAAATAAAGTTTGCAAGTGTGTCCTATCTTAACGAGCTAGCAAGTCAAAATTGTTCAATTCAAAGTATCATAATTGTTCAGTGGAGTTCGAATTGCAATTTAGTTCAAGTTTTTATAGTACAGTTCAATTCAATGACACAAAAGAATGATTCAGTTTATCTGAATTAATGTGTAGTTCATTTAAGACGAACTACTTTTAAGTTCACTACAATTTTTATAAGTTCAGTTCAGTTCATTTTATCCACCCCTATTTGCGAGTGATTATACTAGTTAAGACTTAAGAATTTTAAGAGAAGATGTATAACATTACATGGAAACTATATTTCAGTTTGTCGCAAATATACAATTCCTACTATAATCTTGCAGCTTGTCAATTATTTAGTGGATATTTGTGTTGGAAAGGGTTAAGGAACGCAATAACAATGTTCTGATGTAACTTGGTTCTCATTATATGGATTTAGCATCCTTATAATTTTCCTTGTTAATGGATTTTATTTCTCTTATAACTGATTTATATATTATATGAATGATTAGAGCACCCATGGATTAAAGATGGTAATGCTCCAGACAAGCCAATAAACAGTGCAGTACTTTCCAGAATGAAGCAATTTAGAGCAATGAATAAACTAAAGAAACTTGCCTTGAAGGTATGTCCATACGCAATCTGCATGAAGAGAGACCAGAATTCTCTATAATTTTTGTTGCCCTAGATAGCATACTAGATAGTAGGTACCTATATGTCTATGGATTGGTAAAAATGATCAAAGGTTAATCTTAAACCACAGCTTCTTAAAGATGTCTGTTAAAGTAGTTACAACATTGAGATGTGGAAAATTTCATTGTAGTGTTGTTGTTATGACTCTGAATTAGACCATTCTATGTAACTTTCTAGTGTAGGCTTATATCTATGTCTGCCAATTCAAAGAACTCACTAGATTTTGAATATTCTTTTAGGTCATAGCTGAGAATATGTCTGCAGAAGAGATCCAAGGTTTGAAGGCAATGTTTACAAATATGGACACTGACAAGAGTGGTACCATCACCTATGAAGAACTAAAGGCAGGATTGCAAAGACTTGGCTCAAAGCTTACAGAGGCTGAAGTGAAACAGCTTATGGAAGCTGTAAGCTGTTCTTTTCTCCTCTCTACGTTGATTTCTTTTAAAGTTTTCCAAACTTATTTCTTAGCCTAAATTGCCTGAATTGCAGGCTGATGTAGATGGAAATGGCTCAATTGACTACATAGAATTCATCACTGCCACAATGCATAGACACAAGTTAGAAAGAGATGACCAACTTTTCAAGGCATTCCAATATTTTGATAAAGACAATAGTGGGTAAGTCCATCATGATTTCTTGTCCAACCTAGTCTTACCCTCCAATTTCTTTTGACTTTGCACTATGCCATTCACGTGAATCTTTCAACTAATAAGTTCAATGTTTAAAGTTCATTGTCAATGTCATGCTTGTAAACTATGTGTCATGCACTTTGCTAGAGATTTCAATAATAAAGGCAGATGGCCATTGGTCAGAAACCTCATTTGCAAAACCATTGATTGATGAATAGCTTAACTTGGATGGGAATGTTAGGAGCAATGACATATCTACCCTGGTCTTCATTTGATTCCATTACAGGTTTATTACAAGAGATGAATTGGAAACAGCCATGAAAGAATATGGTATGGGTGATGATGCCACAATCAAGGAAATCATATCTGAAGTTGATACAATTATATCTGAAGTGGATACAGATCATGTAAGCCTATTTTCTATTAAGTGGATTGCTACAAGTTGCTATTCTAGTTCCATTTTTAATACTCAGTTTTGTGGTTTCACAGGATGGTAGAATCAACTATGAAGAATTTTGTGCAATGATGAAGAGTGGAAACCAACACCAAGGCAAGCTATTCTAAATCACACCATCTAACCAGTCTGAGAGTCCGGTATGCAAGACCACCCCTAGGGAAAAGGTTTATACCTCTGAGAAGTACTTCCAAAAGTTTATATCACTCATAGGCATGTAAAGCTTCTGTTTAGAATGTCTGAGTTACTATGTTCCGCATGACTGTTAGTCAACTCTCTTGGTTCATTTTGCTTTTCCTGACATTCTATTTCTGAGTTCTCTTTGAATTTCTTTTTGGACACGAAGTATAAACTCACACAGAAAAGGTGATATATCAATAAGATTATACGAGTTTTTGCACTTGAATTTTTTTAAAGGTTTGCATGCTACAAGGAAAGTGGTTGTGGTCAAAACAAACCTTATTTAGATCAACCTTGGTTCAATATCTGATGACAACCACATTATGCCACAGCAAGTTTGTTGGAGTTAACACAGGATTGGATTCAGACGATGACAATGCCATCTTCTCATACTCTTTGTAAGAACATTAAAAGTGAGATTGTGCTTGTATAGTGCATAGAATATTTAAGTGACAATTAACTGGGAAAAGACTGATATTAGGCAAATAAATCCAATAGCTACCAATTTAGCAAGAAAGAAAACATTTTTTGCAAGAACATCCAATTCAATTTAGATAGTTTTTCCCTTTTTCTTTAATTCATTTAATTCAAAACTAATTTAGAGGGTATGGTCAGAAAACTTGGACCTGTGTATTTATTTTGAAGTAGGACAATTTCCTTCTCTTCTCCACATCAAAGATGTAAATAATGGGCAATAGACGATTATATTTGAAGTTCGAGAATAAAATCATGATAAAGAAAGAATCAATAATCAAATTGAGGACATTAGAGCTTATAAAAGACAATTTGATTGATATATCTTTTTTGTTGTTCTGAATATTTTAAAAACCATCGAACGTTTAAGCCAAATAGTCCTTTTAAATTATAAAATGATTATTTGATTTATTCTCGATTCTGGCTTTCAAACTAAGACCAATTTCTCTTTCTTTTCAATTTGAACCTTCAATTTGTTTTTAGGGATTTTTGGTAAAATTACAAGCTATTTTGGTTGGGCATGAGATAACATAATACGTGCATCTACCTTAATGAGATTTATTTTCCATGATTAGATCAAATTCAAATCACCAATTGAATCCTTACGTTTTACTCTTGGTGTGGTTGAAAAAATTGATGCTTAGTTTTCTCTTATGGTGGATTTGCGTAAAACTCTTTCC